GATGAATTCAAAAAAAATATATTACATATATTGTTGGCTGCACCTAATGCTGTAAGGTTAGATTATTATTACCAATGGTTTTGTCAATAATTATTTATATATCCTTAATTTTTCAGCGTATAAAGTTTTAACGTTAAATCAAATATAGAATCCAATTGCTTGATCCTTTGAGCAGAGTTCTTGATAATGATTATCCTGATAACTGGCCAAATTATTTGAGTCAAATTGATGCTCTTTTAACTTCCGGTGATCCTAGGACAGCATATATCGGTTTATTGGCCCTACATCAAGTCGTTAAAGTTTATCAGTAAGTATATAAAATAATATCTTTAAAAAAAAAAAAATTGTTTACTTATTTCTTATTTTTTTTATTTTAGATGGAAATCTAGTGAAGGTAGAGGTCCTCTGGCGGAAATTATTCAAAGATCTTTTGCAGTTATTTTACAAATGGGCCAGGGATTGCTTAGTGAAATAAATATAGATGCTGCTGAAATGTTGAGGATTATAAATAAAATTTATAGTTCAGCTACTCAAGTATTGTTATATTCAATTGTTTAATTGGTATTTATTTTATTAACTTAAAATTAACATACCTATCATCTTTGCCCTCCAGTATGATCTATCTGAGACTCTCCAAGATAATAATTCTATTGTTCCTTGGGTCTCCTTTTTTCAACATTTAATTGAAAAAGACATACCTGAAGAAATTATTCCAAATGTCATTGAAGAACGACAAAAATTTATTTGGTTTAGAGCACAAAGATGGGCTTGTCAAAATTTAAATCGTCTTTTTCAAAGATATGGGAATCCCGCTCAACTTGCGTCTTCTTCTACAAAATATACTGCATTTGCTGAAAATTTTATACGTCATTTTGGCTCTCCAATATTACACTCTTATTTAAGGAAAACTGAAAAGTGGATCAAGAAAGAAATATGGTTAAGCAATAAAATACTTTTTTATTTTTCAGAATTCTTCAGAGATGCGTTAGTATATTATTATTTTTCACAGTTCTTCAAAGGATTCTGAATATATCATTGAATTAAATAATTCATTTTACTCACTTTAATCATTTTAATAGAATTACACATAAAATTACATGGCAAATTATTAAGCCTTATAGCGAAACATTGGTGTCTCAATATTTATTCCCTCAATTATGCTTTTCTGATGAAGATGAACAATTGTGGACAGAGGATCCTGTTGATTATATCCATAAGAAAATGGATCCTCTAGAGGATTTCAATTCTCATACAGCTGCCGCTGTTTCTTTCCTTATTGACCTAGCGAAGCTTAGAAAAAAATATACTTTTATGGGCATAATGGGATTTATTAACACTATTTTAACTACTTATCATGATGCTCCTATTGATGCCAAAAATCCACATCATAAAGATGGTGCACTGAAAATGATTGGCTGCCTTAGTGAGATGGTCATGCGTAAAAAATCTGGTGTTGCACATCTTATGGAAGGTTTCCTTACAACTCATGTGTTTCCTGAATTTCAAAGTCCATA